AAAAATTTTATCAATTGTTTTGACCAATGCCGCATCGCCTGTTTTTTAGCCTGCTGCTAATCCTAATGCTCCTTTTTGCCTCCTGGATGGACTACGGGCTCAGTGGTTTTCTCAACAGGAGCATTTAGTAAGGGTTTAACCTGTTCGAGATGTCTGAAAGGTTGGTATCTGTCAACTACGAAGAATTAGATACTAACCTATGAGATTATATAATTTCTGAGTGAAAAAGTAGCAATAATTACGAAGTAAGCAAACGTTGCTCAAAAATTTGAGTAAAAAAACTTCGAGTAAAAAACTTTGCTCGAAATAGCGATAATTACTGAGGGCGTGGTTGTATTTTCAACTGATATTCAGGTAAGCGTATGTAACAAACAAAACAAGGAGTCGATTTGTCTTCATTTTAGTAGCTTTTTCACTCATTTGTCGGGAAAGATGAAGGACATGGTGCTTAAGTTATCTTTATTGAAAATTCAAAATACAAATATTATACAGAAGCTGTCCAAGTAAATTTGTCACAGCCTCGAGAAAGAATCCGTATGTTATCCCCGCCTTTTCGTGGTATACATGATAGCTGCTACTAAGATCTTAGGGTCCGTCGGTGTAGAGCTCTGAGATGCGTCCACGCCCAGCGTGGATTTTTTAAATCCTGAGTATTCTGTCCTTCATACTTGCGTTTTTGAGGATATCCGAGTGTGTTGTTAGAGGTTTTTTTTACAGATTGAGAAAAAGATTAAACCCCTGTTTTTTAAGTAAGTTTTAGGCAGTATGAAGCGGATGTTAATTGATGTGCCAGGAGAAATATCCCAAACAAAAAATTTTTCACATGCTCAAAAACAATGATTAATTTGCAGTTATCACGATTACTACTTCTGGATCCCAGTGGTGGCGCCATTCTTTGGCACTGTTGTAGCAGCTTGGTCCTACTTTATTTTTGTTGGTTTTCATATTCCGGATAAGCCGTCCAGTTATCTAAAGGACAACAAAGATGACGGCGATGCAGTTCCACTGAAAGCCACGTATGTTGGTTAACTCAGTGATAAATGACAAAGTCTCCGCATTCATTTTGTGCGATAAACGAAGGTAGTCGGAAGTAGCTCGAATGGTGGCATGTGCCAAAATCGACCACACACTGGTAGAGCGGCCAATAGCTCCTCTTCGAAAATTTCTTACAAGAAAATTGTTGATGGGTTTGGCACTTTGGCGTCCACCAGTGCCAATTTACTATCGAAAATGAATGAGTCTTAGGAGGATTCGTTATCCTGGTATCGGAGTTGAAAGTTGACCTTCATCACGATAGCACCTATGCGGTATTAGCTATTAGTAATTATCATTATTATGAAGTTTTGCGTCACTGATACAATGCAAAAACGCACGTTGACCGAAGTTGCGTGTTTTTCTGTGTGTATGTGTGTGTTTGTGTGTGTTTACGTTTGTTACTCGCTTTCAACTCAACAAGCAGAGAATCTGCAATGCTTGGTTTTTGCAAGGGTGTTCTCTTTTCATATGTGACCTAATAAACATAAAATCAATCTTACTTTAGCCTACATCTTAACACCTGAAAGAAAATGTGAAAAAATTTCGGCAGAAAAAGGATTTCGTGGAACAGACAAGGTGGGAAGCTGAAAATTCACGAAAATATTCTCATGGGCAATCTAAAGTTTCACTTTTGCTCTGAATTACTGAAGAATTACAAAAAGATTTATATTCAAAAAAAACAAATGCGAAATTTATTACTATTCAGAGAGACCTTATCCGTTTTGCTCGCCATAGCGGGGCACAGTACAGCGAAATAATTTTTTCAATTTCAAGAAAATTAATAGCTTGCAAACTTTACACTGCCTCATTTTGCGATTTTTCAGAGATCTTGCATAAAATGGAAAACAGTAAATTGTGCAAGTGGAAGCATCCTATGGGTTTTAGCTCAATGTTAACGATTTTTTCCTTATTTTTTGCATGTATTTTTTAATTTAAATTCGAATTCGTACAACGAGTTGTGCGTTTCACTTTATTTTTTCCAAAAACGAAAAAAATGCAGTTGGTAAGACTGAAGCGTGCTTAATTTGTTCAGCTGTAACTCATAATATGGTTCTTTATGTAAGTAGGCGGCAACTTTCCCATTTGCTTTGACCAACGCTGAATCGCCTAATGTTCAGTTGGCCAGTGATCCTGACTTTTCACCCGATTCGTGAAGGGAATACTGGCCCAACCATCTTGACAAATCAATCATTTGACAAAACTTCAGATTCCCCAACGT